CTGGCCTCCCCCTCCCCCCCCCCCCCCCCCCTTACCCTTCCCTCCCCCCCCCCCCCTGCCTCTCCCGGAGGGACGAGAAAATAGGAGGAAGAAGAGAAAAGTGAGATAATAACAATCGGGAAAGACAGGCACACGGCATTATGCATATATATACACACACACACGCGAGGATGTGTGTGTATATGTATTTTTAAAGGAGGCAAAATCCGGCTGGGAATCCACAGTGGAGTGCTGTAGAGCCTCGGTAGGGTGAGTCCCATTGTAATAGTAATTTGAACCGCCTGTGTAAAATTGCAATCTAAGGCAGGGTGCTGGGGGATATATATATATGTGCGTGTGTGCATCTCGTGAGGCTCCGTGTGTGTGTACACACAGGCACAGAGACACACACACACACACACACGGAGCCGCTCGGGGGACGGGGGGCAACGCTGAACACGCAGGAGGAAACGTGAAGGAAAAGTAACCACACGTCAGGATAATCATCTCGCTCCTAAGCAGCGTGAAACTAAAAATCCACTTCCAATAAACCTCCATCAGCAAAATCAAAACAAACACAAATCAATTACGAGTGCAGGGGAAAGCATGCAAGAGCCCCTGCCTCCCCTGCCCACCCCCTCCAACACCTCTTTCTTTCATTAAAAGAAAGTTTCTCTCTGTTTATTCGGGGGTTGGGAGGGAGTTGGGGGGGAGGTGGGGGGTGGGGAGGAAAGGTTCTGGTTGGGTTTGGGGAGGGAGGTTAAAAATAATAGTAATAATTAAAAAAACCCAACAACCCCAAACCGTAACCAAAACCCAGAACGCAGCGAGTGAAAAAAAAAAATTGCAAAACAAATGAAATCCCAATACCTTCCCGTCTCATGCCAACTTTGAGGCATTTTTTGAGGCGGCAGTACTGACACTGATTGCGGTGGTGCTGGTCAATGGGACAGTTCCTGTTGGCACGACAAGTGTAGCTGAGATTCCTCCTTACACTCCGCTTGAAGAAACTCTTGCAACCCTCGCAGGTAAACTGGCCATAATGTTTGCCACTAGACTTGTCCCCACAAACCACACATTCAATGTGCTGCTGCTGCTGCTGTTTGTCTCCTTGGTTCTGCTGGCTTTGCTGGTTGGTCTGGGCTGGCGTGCTGGGAGGGCCCCCGGGCCCCGGGGTCTGAGGGGTGTGCGGGGCCCCGGCCGGAGGTCCCTGCACCGGCGGGGCTTGCGAAGGCTGCGTTCCCTGAGCTCCGGGCACATCGTCCTGGGGGTCTCGCCACGCACCGACTACCATTGCCATATCTATTGGACACCGTTGCCAAACTTCCTGTTCCCCCTTTATTTTCAAAGTTTGTTTGCTTTGCTTTTCAGATCAGCTTTGCAGCAGTCTTTTTTTTTTTTTTTTTCCTCCCCTCTCTCTCTCTCTCTTTTTTTTCCCCTCTCTCTTTTTTTGTTTTGCCTT